GTTAAGTTCAAGTGAGAAGATTACACACATTTGATATCTGGCATGTACATTTGTCATATTTATTTCTTTTCTAGGTAGTGTAAACTGTGACCAAAATAGACCCTGAGATTCTATATTAAAACATTTTTTTTTATACTGCTAATCAGAATAACTGATATATACAAATGATGTTTAGATTAGAGCCGAAGTGGAATTATATTAGGGATGAGGCTGATTCATATTAAGGAAAATAAAATGAAATGCAGCAGTTAGTTGTAGCTAAGTAATATCAGGCAGCTGGTACAGGGAAGAAGGACTATCTCATTGATTCCATTTCAGATTATAACACAGATGAGGAACAGCAAAGTATGCTCAATAGATGTGGAAACTGATGAGAATTTTAAGATTTAAAGCTCAGTTTTTATTGGGTTTGTAAAATATAACACTTTTTAAAAAAAAAAAAAAAAAAAGGGTGTTATTTAATTTACATCCAAGAATTTATCACTAAGCTGTTTCTTTTTGTCAGCACCAATTCTATAATGACATAGAATCACATAATAGTTTGAGCTGGAAGGGACCTCTGAGGGCTGCGTGATCCCACCGTCTGCTCAGGAAGGCCAGCCTGGATCAGGTGGCTCAGGGATTGCCAGGGGGAGTTCGGGTGCCTCCAAGGATAGAGATTTGGCACCTTTTTGGGCTACCTGTTCCAGTTTTTGGCTAGTCTTGTTGTGAAATTTTTTTCCTGATCTAATTGGAATTTCCCACATTGCAGCTTGTGCCCAGTGCTTCTCATACTTGCAGTGAGCACTTCCAAAAAGTGTCTGGCTCTGTCTTCTCTGTACCTCGCTCTTAGGCAATTGAAGTCCACAGTAAGATTTTACTTTTGTCTCTTCTTAAGGCTGATCAGCCCCACTCCTCTGACTCTCATCATATTTCATGCCAAAAGATATAATATGGTCACCTACAGTAATGTAGTTTTGTGGCACTCATCCCTGACAAAGCTCCTCTGCTTAGCTTAGGAAGTCTGTTGGACTTCATAGATGAAGTCACTCCACTCCCACCAACTTGTGAGCTGCAATACTGTGTTGGGCTTTTGGTACTTTTGCGTTCTTGGTAACTCTTGAACTTGTATGCAAAATGCTTACTACTCCTGTCTGTAGTGACAGAAAGCAGCTAGGTGGAAAGTAACTGTGCAGAAATTATATGTTCTTTTTATTTCTGTTTGATTTTCTTCAAAGGGGTTGGGTCATGAATAAGTCACTAAAATAAATGAACCTCAAAGTGGTGTTAATCTTAACAGCTTAACATATTTTAAGAATTATGTCATGACATTCTTTTTAGAATTGGGTGTTGTCCTGAGCTGCTAATAATAAAATGTTTTAGCAATGAATAAAAATGGATTCTATTTTAATCAGTGCGAATATTCCAGGGTGCATAAGCTCCTCTGAAAACTCACAGGATCAAATTCTGCCCTTGAAGTCAAGTGAAAGGTTTGCATACAAGTCAGAAGACAGGCTTTGGTCCATAGTGTTTTGCTTGGCTTTCATTTTATTTTTGATAGCCCAGGTTGGAGGAGTTTGTAAGGGAAAATACCATGGCAGAAAAATCTTGTTTAAAGATATGCTGGATTCCAGAGAATATTTTAAAACACAGAAACATTTTTGTTAGTCTGTTGTGCCAGTACCTACTCGGTTCTGTGCGTAGGCGAGAACAAGTGGTCAGTGATTTAAACAGACAGACCAGTGCAAGTGATCATCATGCCTTAAAAATAGGCTATGCATTCAGTTTAGACTTCAGGGTGTAGAACCAGGAGCGTCTTACATCAGAGGGTTTCAAACAGTGGTGGTGTTAACAGAAGTTTGTGCTCTTTCTCTCCTTACCTTTCTGTTACACATCTGTGCTTCTTTGCGGCTTAAATACACCAAGGCTGTAGATGAAAGTTATTCAAACAGTTGTGTAGAAATTTTTGCATACAGTTTTAGTTGGTTTCCAAAAGTGTTTGTGTGGTATCTTTTATACAAGTCTTTCAACTTTGTTGGTGTGCTTTTGTGGTTCTGTAGCTGTTACCCTTAGGTTTCAGTCTCTGCCTTGGCCTCTGCTCTCCCCCAGAAGGCTGTGGTTTGACATTTCAGATCTCACTCAGCCTGGGGCTGATGCGGTCGACCTGTTGGGCAGGTGGGCTAGGCCAGCACAGTAGCCTTTCTTTTTTGAGCTCTTCCTAGCAAGTGAGATCAAGTAGCTCATAGCATATAGTTCAACTTTAACTGTTATTTTTATTTTTTGGTCCTCTAGTTTACTTACTGTCTTGCATTATATATACAGTATATTTATAACACTTGGAAGTTACAGGACGTCAGCATCACAGACTGACTTTGGCTCCTGTGACTGTGCGCATGGTGTTAACAGTCTTGTAATGAAAGAGAAATACAACCTTTTACATGCATTACTTTCCTCGTTCAGTCTGCAGGAAGGATTGAGGAGTAGTCATTTGGTACATTTTTATCCTTTTCAGTGCGTGATGTTGCAGTGAACATCATAACATTTCTTTCTTAATGGAGTTTGTGTAGTACTACTGTTATAATGCCTAACATCTTATGGAATCTTAAGATACTGTCTTCTCAGTATCCTTGTGGGGTGGTGGAGGTTACCACACACGAGATCTTATGGTTGGGGGATTGAAGCGCAGAAATAAAAGCAAATGTTGTCCAAGGTGTCAACAAACTTTGTGTGCCTGGACTGAGAAATTTAGAAAACAGTGTTGTTTATAGTATTTGTATTCAGAGCTATATTCCTTTTGTCCTCTTGAAACTGGAAGTATTTATGACTACTTAAATTTGACTCTTGGTTTTCAGAGTTCAGAGTCCACCTGTGAAAAATCTGTTTTGTAGGATTTGCTTTACAGGAGAACTCTGTTTCTGATGTGGGAATACAGTCTGTTTCTCTATGGTGATTTTTAAACTTTCCCAACCATGAAACTATTATATATATATCAGCATTCTGCCTTTTCTCCAGATATTTTCCACTATACTGAAAAACTGCTTTTTTCTTCTATGGACAGTTCTAATTCAATTTAATTTTTGTATTACAGCCTGTCTTTTTATCAAATAGGACCAGAGTTCTCTTAGGTTTTGCAGAAGGGATCTTAATTAAGGTTAAATGGGTAGACTTCATCCTAACATTTTTTTATCTTTTTTTTGCAATTACATGGTAACAGTAATTTTAATTTAGAGGATTTTTTTTTTTTTAAACATTGGGAAAAAACCCACAAAACCCCACGAACAATCACTTAAAACTGTGTTGATGCTAATTTAGAGGGGGGCAAAGAAGTACATTTTGCCAGTATGCAACATCAGAGGAACATTATGCCTTAGAATTGCCTCTAATTTCCCAGTTTTGCTAATTTCCTAGAGAAGATGCTTTTATGGAATAGATGGTTTTATTAATTTAATGCTACACCTTGATTTTTGTGCCCAAAATTACTTAATGATCTGTGCTGATATGGAGCATTGACTTCACTGCTGTCCTTGAAATTTGGGAGGTAGCATACCTGCCCACGCTGTGATTGTCACATGCATAGTCAGCCTGTCAGAGCTGTAAGGGATAGCCAGAATCCCATAAAGACAGGCCCTTCATCCTGTTTAGACTATAAACCAAGAAGATGTGTGTATATGAATTTTCAGACATGCACATAGGCGAGTTTTCACAGGGAAGTACTAAAGTGGCCTTTCTCTACTACCAGCTGTTGCTCCTAAATGAATTTCAAATCTGTGCTCCAAAGCATCAAAATGCTAGAGCTTCTGAGAAGACAACAGTAAATACTTTGTTTGCTAGGTAGACCTTTTTTCCAAGTCTAATTCACAGAAATTATTGATGTAAAAAAAAATCATTATGATAAATAGTCCTTTGTTTTATAAAACTTCATCCTTAATAGCTTTATTTTGTCTAAGTTAAAAACATCTGAAAATATGTAAAGAAAAGTGTTGGATTAAAGGTGTTGGTATTTCCACCATTTCTACATATAATAATGTGTACGTAGCGAGGACTTGGAGAATTTCCATGTAGATGCCTGCAGACGTAATTGGTAATTCGTAGCATTCCCTTATCTCCCTCCCTCAATTAAAAAACTTGTAATTATGATTGCTAGCTTTGCTATGATAATGACATGAATATTTTCCAGTCCATGTCTGTTTGCTGGTCCAGAACTGAATGAAATAAGTACTGCAGGAGCAGATTTTAATCAGTCTAAACATAGTGGAGAAATTTAAATTTGAATGAATGGCTCTGCAGTGTGGATTTAGAACTATACTGTGGAGTGGTAGAAAAATATTCTGGTCCAAACTCCTGCTCAGAGGAGATGTAAGCAAAGTTAGATTGTGTTGCTCAAGATGTTGTCCAGTGGGATTTTGACATTCCGGAGATGGACATCCCTCAGCCTCTCGGGGCAATCTGTTCCAGTGCATACTGTGTTTTGTGTTTTGGCTTGGTCAAGAGGTGCCTGCTCAGGCAAGGTAGCTTGCTGCTGTACCTGGTCATTTTCTTGCTCGTGGGATGAGCCATACATGTACTTTAATGAGCTTGTCTTTGACTGACCAGCTGTCCTGCGCTCTTTTGTCCTTCAGCATCCCATTTGAGCCTGCCTGCCGGTTCCCCAGAGAAGCGTACTTTGCTCTCCTGCTGTTCGATGGCATTTTCTATTTGCCTTCCTCATTTCCCATAGTTTTCCTGTCACACATAAATGCTTACTACTAACATCTGTGAGTTGCCACAACAGGGTCAGGAACTGTTTGCAAATAAAGAGTAGGTTTGGTAATGTTTTAGGTGGGGGACCTTATATATGTGCATTGCTTATCTGGAAGTAATGTCTGCTTTTGATATTAAACATCTCTCCAGTTTTCAATAACCCATAGCCTCAGTCAGAGTTTTAAAACCTTTACTTCTAAGTAGCAAGACTTTAATACAATATATTTTATCTAATATCACAATATTAACTTTTTTTCATCATTGAAATGCCTCTTTTTCAGATTACATATTTCAGTTTGTGGTATTATAATAAGCAGAATCAGCGCAGATGGGTAGATTTGGACAAGCCTCTGAAAAAGCAGCTGGACAAATATGCCTTGGAGCCAACTGTGTATTTTGGAGTAGTGTTCTATGTGCCTACTGTTTCTCAGCTTCAGCAGCAGGTAAACTTCATACATGTGTCTATAATTTTGCTTTCAGCATTCTGAAATGTATGGTTTATTTAAAAATCATCTGCTTTCCCCTCCCCCACCTCTATAGAAATGGAAATTATTTCAGGCAGAATTTATGGTAAAACTGTGTATTTATTTCCCTTTTGAATATTTAAAATATGTGATAAACTAAGCAAACAACAAACTTTTTGATGATTTTAGGAATCTATTCAAACCTGTTTTCAGTAATAGGCATACTTGCATGGTCAGATTTTAAATTATTGTAGTCCCTTCATGTTTTTGTCTCTTTTTTGTTTTTCTTTTGAAGAGCCATATTTTGCTTTCAGGGATGTCCGTCCTGCACAAAGCACATGCAGATTTTATTGAGCTATAGTTTTGTTTATTTTGCTTTCAGTACTTTTTGTACTTTCAGTACAATACATTGGCAACCTAGAGGCTAAGCTTCAGCTTGTGATTTTTTTTTTTTTGTGTGTCACTGGGCAATGAAGATGGATGTTAGCTTTGATATCATGTATCCATTTCTACTGTGAAACTGGGGAACTTCACATAAGTTGTGCTGCCTGCAGGGTAAAAGTAAAATTGAGCGTATATACTGGCCAGTTATTCCTATGGGCCTATACTAGACTTCTAGTGTGTTAATGTGTATAGTTGTTCTGATTTAATTACTACTTTTAACAGGCAAATGAGTACAAAACCAGTCACTGGATTACAAACGTATATTGGTTATTTCAGAAATATGTGCTTGCATTAATTAACCCATTTAAGCTGGTAACTTCAAGTTGGCCCTGCTTTGAGTGGAATTTTTACGTGAGTTTCATTTTTACATGAAACTGTCTTTATATAAACTCTGGTGCTAAAATACCTTGCCAGAGGCCTTTCCCAGTAATTCTGGTGTGAAAGCTTTCCAGGGAGATAAGCCTCTTGGTGCAGACACTGGTGCTGTAATGTATTGCTCAATGGCTGGCAGCTTTAGTTTTTGGGTTTTGTGTAATTTCTGTAAGATTATTTTCTTTCGGAAAACTCTGAACTTTTGGGGTTTTTCTCGGTAATTTTACTGGCTTAAAAAGTCATTCTAGTGGTCTTTCCTTTTTCTTCTGTCTTTTTTTCTTAATAAATCTTTGGTTCAGATTCTGCACTTGTTGGTATAGTAGGATGCATTAGAGTAAGATAAATGTCATAGTGTTGCATTGAATAGCTAGATTGCCTGAAAAAGCTTGAATATTCTTCTCTGGCATTTATTTAAAGAATATGATGTTTATGCTGGAGCTTTAACAGCAATTTTGCAGTGTGCTGCCACGTAGAAAGCAGGAATTTATGTGACAAGCTTATACTCAGGTCCTAGAGGATGGTACTTGTTTTGTTGTACCATAGTCAGAGTCTGAATTAATTTCAGAAATCTGTGGATTTTTTTCATGCCTTTTCAATATAGATGAGATTGAGCGTGTTTAAGCAATTTGCATGTTTAATGTATACCAGGAAATGGAAATTTCATAGACAAGAGATGGTATTTGTACTATCACGACGTAGTGTTCAGATTCTTCATCTGTATGTTTACTTTTAATAGCAGCTCTATGGAAAGAGCTTACATTCTACTGCTTGACTGGGAAGATTTATTTCCCCAAATGCCTTGATATGTGGTGGCTTTTTCCTTTCCTTTTTTTTGAGGCCTGGGTTTAGTCCCAGCTGTTCTTGTGTGTGTTGTGTAAGGATGAGCCATCTTATAGCCTGATGCAAATTTGTGTGGAGATTACCTGACCTTTCTTCTTTCACTGAATGAATTGTAGCACATGCTTCCATGTTCTCAGTATTAAAGCCTTACTTCATGAGAGTTAACATACAATATGAGGACGTTAAGAACCTTTTAAAACTAGACTTACAGAAGACAAATGTCCTTCTTGGCAAAGTCTGTGTAGCTATAATGGCATTTTTGAGTTTTGAGGTGTTTTGGGCTCAAGATAGGGTGTTCCATAGATGGCTGAAAGGGGTAGAAGAATTCAAGAAAATAGTGGTTCAGACTGTGGACAAATGATACAGCTAGTAGTGGTTGCATGTACAAGAGATGACCCAGAAAAAGGTCAAATTAAAGGAAAAAAAATGATGCCTTGAAAGTGAGAACAAAATGTACTCAGAAGTTGTAATGCAGAAATGAAAGTCACTATTGTGATTGAAGCGATGTGCAATGTATTGGAAGAGAATGCAGCAAGACAGCAGCAGTGTACTGAACATTGTAAAGAGGAGATAATAAGAATATTAAAGAAGGAATAGGTAAAAATTAAAAATTTATGAGGGTATGGTAGTAGATAGAAATCATGGAGATTCTTTGTTTTGAGAGGTAGCAGTATTTGATTCTGCCATGTTATGTGACAGCTAAGGGAGGAGTTAACAAAGACGGTGAAATAGTGGGTCCGAATGATGAGGAAGACTACCCTCCACACAAACTGGGGAATGCAGAGAGGAATAGGAAACGCAGGCATATTAATCTGCACTCTTTAAATTAAGAAGCCCATGTTAGCGTCTTCTTTTTTTCCCATGTAGGTATCAGTATTATTTGCAATTAAAGAAAGATATCTTGGAGGGCAACATTCCTTGCACACTGGAACAAGCAATACATCTGGCTGGTTTAGCTGTTCAGGGTAAGTAAGGCAATTGTGCCAATTAGCTAATGTTGCATTAGAAACTTTGGTGAGATATTTTCTATTGCGTATTTTCTATTTATCATTCAAAGACCCAATTCACTAAGTTATGAAAGGCTTGCTCCTTAGAACTTTGTCATATGGGCTGAGGAGGGGGGACAGTGGGATCAGTGGCCCCAAACTTGCTGGTATTTCTGCGCAGTCCTCAGAGGTGTACCTGGTTATCTAGCATATAGTTTCAGGAGATGGGATTGAATTAGACATCGGAGTTCCTTTGGGGGCAAAGGCTGTAGTCGTCTGCTTACATCGACAGATGTTTCATCTGTTTCTGTTAATTAAGACTCTTTATTCTGGCATGGTAACAAGAGAAAGATACAGGTTTTAGTAAAGAAGCAAATTTTAATGTACAGTAGTACTTGTACCTTCACTTTTTCTCCCAAATATCCTAACACCTAAGATTATTTCAAGTTAGTATGCAAGACTGTTAACAATCCCTATGTTCAAATTGCTCCTGAAGATCCATTTCTGTGATACCTACACAAAAATGGCTGCTTTATTTTTCCTAACTGGGGTCAGATGGGATAGAGTATACATCAGAGAACCACCAGTTCTAAGTCTCTCTGCACTGATCGTGTCTGGTGTTCCCTGCTAACATGCTCGTTCGATCATAAATCTCTCTAAAAGTTTTTAATGGCAACAGCTTTGTTTAGTGTGTTTTTATATTGCTTCACACTGAATGCCACTCAGTATATCTAACAGCAATTGCAAATCTGGCAAAATTGAAGGGGACTTAAAATCATTGGCAGTACATACAACTTAAGGTTTTTTGTCTTTTTTTTTGATTATATGTGTTGGTAGTATCACATTAAAGATGATGATTATGTTTTTTGAAAATGTGGTTAGCAGCGGAGTAGGGTGGATTATATTAGTGCCTTGCTTATATAACAGTGAATCTGTTTAATACAAACCAGGACATAATGGTCTTCAACTGACAAAATCTTGCTTTGTTATTTTCATATCTTTGGACAGCGTAAATGTCTCTCTGCTCAGTGAGTTGTTTATAGAAATCTTTCGATATAATCCTCTTTCAAGATGGAAAATATTTATCCTTTTAGCTTTCACATTCCTTTTTCAGTCTTGTATAAGACAGAAACTGTATGTGTTGATAACACAGTGAAAAAAAAACTCAGAAAAAACACAGGTTCTAAATTAATGTGCTCCAATGACTGAAGTAGCTTATTCCAGGTAGGTTAGTTAATTTTAGCTGGTGAACAAACACAAGCAGTCGTTTGCTGTTTCGAATGAACTGGTTTCAAGAATGATCTGTATTTGAAATAATTACAATCGGCTAATTCTAAACACTGCTTTATCTCAAGTGCTGTGTTGGTGTAGCATGTCACAAATTCTCCCTTTTCATCATAAATAACTTGCATATTAATTGTTAATGCTTAACACAAATTTGGTTCCTAAATGTCTCTAAAGTTATACTATTATGGATGAGAATCTGTGGTAATGTAAATAGGATCTGTATGCTTGAGGATTTTGTTTATATTTCTGGGAGCAGCCGTTCCGTACAGGCGGCTGTTCCACAGTCTCTCCTGTGAGACTGGTGCATAACTTTTCCAATTTAGACTGTTTTATTTCTCTTCTTTGAAACGTTGGCTAATTTTTTGCTGGAAACAGAAAAAGAGGCAAATTCCTTGGGATGCCTGTTGGCATGATGTAAAATCAAAACTGTGATTACAATCAAAACAGTTATTAAGTCCCTTCTGAGCATGCCCCTGAGTCTGGGAGGGCTTCTAGGTCACGCTTTCTGCATGTCTGGGTGCAGGGAGCTCTAGAAGGCTTGAGAGCAGAAGGGTGCTCCAGCTGCTCTCTGCAGTGCTTGAGTCCAGCTGCAAGTTACAGCAGTCTGCCGGCGCTGTACTGCAAGTAATTAGGTATCTGACAGGAGGGAGTAAAGAAGGTGGAGCCAGACTCTTCTCAGGCAGTGGGCGCAAATTGAAATACAGGAAATTTCATCTAAACATAATGAAAGTTTTCTGTTGTGAGAGTGGTGAGACACTGGAACAGGTTGCCCAGAGAAGTTGTAAAGTCTCCGTCCTCTGTATTCAAAATATGACCAGAGAAGGCTCTGAGACAATCTGCTGTAGCTGACCCTGCTTAGGGCTAGAACTCCAGAGGCCCCTTCCAACCTCAACCATTCTGTGATTAAAAAAACCAAACAAATAAAAGCCCAAGGAACTTGGAGCAACACTCTGATTGTTTTATCATTTCTTCTCCTTTCCTATCCACAGGGAGTGTTATCAATTTTTCTGAACAAGGTAAAAAGATGGGATGTGTTTTTACTTTTCCTCTTCATAAACATTACTGGTTATTTTGTTCCATTGTTTTACTTTCAGATCGTAGTTCAATAGGGTGGAGATTTGCTACTTGGGAGATCCTGCTGCAATTAATCACGTATTGAATCATTTCATTACAAATGTTTGATTCCAAGAAATTTTTTATTTTGTAGCTGATTTTGGAGACTATGATCAGTATGAATCTCAGGAGTTTCTACAAAGATTTGCTTTGTTTCCAGTGGTAAGTACTTACTTTAAAAGTTCTTCAATTGATAAATTTAAATTTAAATCTTTCTTTAGATTGGTAAATGCAAATCATTATTAAGGACTCCATGATCCATCTAGCTTACTGCTCCCCAGATTGTCAAATTCAGTAAAGGTTTTCTTTGAGACTGGAGTGAGATATGATACCTTATATTACACAGAAGCAAAGATGTTGCAAGATCTTTTCACTTTTATTGTATATTACCCTGAAAAGAAGGTTGAGGTGGAGATGGGAAAGGGATTAAAAACACTTCAAAACAGCGTTTGTGCTTTTTGTTTTTCTTTGTGTGCATATTACAGCATCTGAGCTCCAAGACTAGAGTGGAGGGTTGATTCGCCGGCGTAAAGAAACTATAACCATTTAATTTTGTAGAATTTTTTGTATTTCATTCTGTAAATGCTATCTTACCTTAAGGGTTGGCTGCAAGAAGAAAAAATATTGGAAGAAGCGACACAGAAAGTTGCCTTGCTACATCAGAAGTACAGGTAACATTTCTAAAACTCTTTGTTGCTTAATTTTGATGTGATTGCTTCAGTAGCTCAGGAAGTTGGGAATCTCAGAAGACAGTTGGACTAATTTCACCTCCCATTTAAATGATTTTTTCCCTGATACATCTGCATTAAAATTACAAGAATTTTTGCTGAATGAAAGTGAAAAGAGAACAGAACGACAGTTAAAATAAATGAGATGATTCTGCTTAAAAATTAAGAATGCAGGACACAATTAAATAGTGTGGCTTCACCTGTATAATGTTTCTGAAACTTGTTTATGTGATGCTGTGACCCCAGTAAGGATGTTTCTTGATAAACAACATTGGCAGATACTAAGGGCTGTAGAAATGTAGAGACAGTCACTGTACCAGAATGCTTATGATCTTAAGTAAAAGGTAGCTAAGATGCAGTAGTCCAAGACAAAGGAAAGTTAAGTTCTCTGTTGTCAGTTCATCAGTGAAAAATGTTTGTGACTATGTGACTAATACTGATTATTTTTTCCTGTATTGTTTTACAGTTTGTAAATTTCAAATCCATTTGTCTTTGAAATGTTTTCATAACAAGATTGCATGGTTAAGGTTCAGCAAAGAAAACTTAATCTGCATGACATTAGGAAAAAGTGGAAAAAAAAAAGAGAGATTGATGATTGAAAATGTATTGAGAGACATAAGAATGAGCATGACAGGATTTTGCAGGTAGAGATAATATCTTTTATGAGATCAACTGAGGTAGGTAGGGAAACACAAGGTTTTAATCCTTGTGACACTACTGCAAGTCTGTGAGAAAACTGTCTTTGCCAGTTGGTCTAATTAAAAAAAATATTACCTTTACCTACAGATCTTGTCCTTCTCATGTTTTCAAACCATTACAGTTAAAACTCTGTCAGCGTTTAGAAAACGAGACTCTCTTTCCTGAAATGTGAAGCATCAAACTTCATATTGGTCCTAAACATGTATATTGCAATAGGGGGAAATTCAGATATTGAACATGTGTGCCAGAATAATCATTCTGGTAAAGTGAGAAAATATGGTGACAATGATGGATTTGAAGAAGAATGTGATAATTGTCTGCCGTTATCAGAGATGATAATTTTAACTGGTCTTTGTTGCCATTTACCCCTAGAGATGCCTGAGAGAAAGAAGTTACTAGAATCAAAGTGTAATGGCTGAGACAAATATATCGGCCATTGGTACGGATGAAAACAGCATGATTTGATGGTTGCCTGGATGTCTTGGTGATACTTTTCAAGCTTTGACAGTGTCAGTCAGAGTAAAACAAAGATGATTTTTTTCTTATTCACAGTACTAGCTGATCGTTGTTTTCATTTGTAGAGGCCTTACTCCTCCTGACGCAGAAATGTTATATATGCAAGAAGTAGAGAGAATGGAGGGCTATGGTGAAGAGACCTATCCTGCAAAGGTAAACAGGGCTTTGGTCTTTGTCTCCGTTGCTTTTTTTCCCCCCTGTGTAAAAGGGTTACTTCCTGCCAAAAATAAATAAAAGCCAAAAACCACACCACCCCTTTTCTCACCCAGAATTGTAAAAGTAGTTGCTTCTCATGTAACTTTGCTTTCAAAGACTTTTTGCTGTATTTGCATAATTTTTTGCAACTTCTTACAGGACAGCCAAGGAAGTGACATATTCATTGGAGCATGTCTTGATGGTATCTTTGTGAAACACAAAAATGGTCGTCCTCCTGTTGTATTTAGGTTAGTACTGTTCTTTCTTAAAATATCTTTGTGCACTTCACATTTTATGTGTGTTCCTCACTAGCTTGAATGCCTCCTAGATATGATGTCTATTTATTCATTTGATAAACTTGACATAGTCTTGTAGTCGTCGTGCTACAATGAATACTGAAGTCCATGGGAGTTTTTCAACATATTGACTGCAGGATGAATCTTTTTAAGCCAGATTAATTCTAAAAGATGAACATTTAATATACATTCCATTGAAAAACATTTATTGAGTCAAAAAGGAGCAGTTCTCTGCAAATAGAACATCTTAGGTCCTGAGACGGGCATATCAATTTACTTAGAAATATTCAATTGTAAAATTATCCAGGAGTTCCTTTCATATATTACATATAAAACAAATAGAGGAGAGTCACGTGATAACATTTGTTTCATTATTTTGGATTCATACATTGTTTTAGTTTATTATTTAATGTTCTGATAGTTAAATTGTAGACATAGGTGTGTCTGCAACTTACCTAACAGTTAAAATTCAGTCTTCATGTGAAATGGCCTGGTTCCCAGTGACTTCAGGAGGGGTTGCCTGGGCATCTTTGGACAGAAATTGGAGTAAATTTAAAAAAATACATATCAAGATTTTTTTTTTTTTTAATGAATCTTAGTAATCTGTAGTTATCGCTAGAGCAAGAAAGGCTTTATTCTTAGTGAATTTTAATCTTCTAGAGTTGAATTTTTGGCTGACTATGAACAGAATCTTGAAATCCTGTGGTCCAACAGTTACTGGAACTCATGGTGAATTTCTGGGGTTAGAGAAAGTAGCAACTGTGCTTCTTTCTGTTAGTGGTTTTGTTTAATAGAATTTATAAATTCAGTACCGTTAACTGTCCTTCACAAAAATCTCTGTCTCTGCTGCTGATAGGAGAGCTGATGCCAAGATCTTTTTAATTGTATGGAGTGGTAGAAGTGCTCTACTCTGCTTCCTTGTAGAATGAAGCAACAACAGTTCTGCTGTCTGACTTTCCAATCACATAGGGGAGAGAAATAAAGCTTTGTCGATGCATTTCGCTTAATTTCCCAAAGAATTGTGGATGCAGTGTCTGTGTAAACATAAGAAAAAAGTTGCACATTGGAGAGCATCAGGAAGTATTCATATTCCAATTTCCGGATCCAGTTTTCTGCTCTATTACTTATTTGTTGTGTGACTAGAGGCAGTTCTACTGGGGATAGATATATCATGGTATTTGAGTGGCAAAAAAGCATAGACAAATGACCCACTAGTACAATTTACAAAGGCTGGGTTATGCTTCAGATTGGTTCACGTAATTTCATAATTGAAAGGAGGTTGTAGTGAGGTGGGGGTCGGTCTCTTCTCCCAAGTAACAAGCAATAGGACGAGAGGAAATGGCCTCAAGTTGTGTCAGGGGAGGTTTAGGTTGGATATTAGGAAAAATTTCTTCACTGCGAGGGTAGTCAGGCACTGGAACAGGCTGCCCAGGGAAGTGGGCATCATCATACCTCATCCCTGGAGGTATGTAAAAGACGGGTAGATGTGGTGCTTAGGGACATGGTTTAGTGGGGGACTTGGCATTGCTAGGTTAACAGTTGGACTCCATGATCTTAAAGGTCTTTTCCAAACTAAATGATTCTGTGTTTGCGTCCATAAATGCCTATGAACCAACGCCTTAAGTTTGAGGGGTCTTTGTTCTACATCAAAATGGGGACATTAGTGTTTCTCTACCTCATGCATATGATGGTGAGTAGAGAGAGTCCTGTATGTAAATCATGCTTTTTCCCTGTGTTTGTCCACTGAAGAATATTCTTTTAATAAATCAATGATACAGGCTTTATTTACACTAACATAATACTAATTGATCAAACTACATTTATATTTAACAAGAAGTTGAATAAATATATGGTATTATATTTCTTGCAATCTCACTTTCTCATTTGTCAATATGCAAGAGAGTTCTAGAAAATATCTATAATAATGCCTTAATGGCTTTGTTTAGTGTAGATTTTTTTTCTTTCCTAGAATGTATGGTTTGCTTTTAAAAAAAAAAAAAAAAGAACACTTGAAAGAATTTCAAGTGGAAGACAAGTAATAAACTTATTACTGCGCATATTGTGCATCTTCAAAAGAGTTAGTCACATACATATTTTCCTTTCAGCAGTCATTTAATGGATATGGAAGTGATGGTCTGCAACTTGTTCAGATAGATTGATGAACTTTTTATTTATCCATATTCTTGGTGGTGGCTCTGTTCTTCCCTTGCATTTTCTGTGGTTTGAAAATCAGAGCTTGCCAGTCATGTTCTGTCCCTTTTGTCTGCAGGTGGCATGATATTGCCAACATGTCCCACAACAAATCCTTTTTCGCATTAGAGCTGGCAAACAAAGAAGAGACAATCCAATTCCAAACTGTGAGTAGATTTTTACTTTTATTTTTTCACTAAGCCATCAGTAAATAAAAACAAATTAAGACTGCTAATTTAACTCAAAGGATAAAAACTACTTTTTATATATTTAGCAACTTTGAACTGTATGAGTGAGTCAAAAGTAATAATACTGTCTCTGGCTAGCTTTCTATGGGAAGGCATTAAAAATCTGACCTGTTATGTTGAGTACATTGACAAGTTTGGTTCAGGTGGTCATAAACATTTTCATCTATTCCAGTAGAATTTCTAGCATGTTTTTCTGACTTTTAAATCAGTGGCATTTAAAGATAAACATGGTCTTAGAGCTTTGCTGGAATGGGCCATGATGTTCCTTGCAGAGTTAATTTTATGTGGTATCTACCAGTTGCCTTTGTCAAGAAGGCAGCTGTCAACAATCTTATGGCATGGTATGTATATAGGGTAAATTGTGTTAGTGTTGTAGCTGATAAGAGTTTCTTCAACAAAAGGCTTCTACTTTCAACAAAAGGCTTCTGCTTTCAACATTCATAAATCTAATAAAATTATTAGGCTAAAGTGCATGTTCAGGCCCACAAAGTACAGTTTTGGGGAAAACCTGGTGACAGTAATGAAGTTATATTAAAACGAAATTGGTCAATGCTAATTTAATCTTTAAAATTGCAGTGGCTTTTTGGAAAGCAAGTGAAGGGTATGCATATTTGGCCTAATATGCAAATTTTGGTTTTGTTTTTTGGCAGGAAGATATGGAAACAGCAAAATACGTGTGGAGGATGTGTGTGGCTAGACACAAATTTTACAGACTAAATAAATGCAGCCTGTAAGTAGAATACATTAGCAGAACTCTTGGTGCCCTTGAAGCTTCCATTGGGAAGTGAAATCTTCTATAACTTCTGTAATGTCTTTACTGTCCTTTTTAGGTGGTGGTAATTAATGACTTGGGGGTTTTCTCGTAATCTTTTTTGAGAAGATATTTATCACCATTTTCTCAAACATATTCTGCTTTATGACAATATTAAACACTGAAATCTTACCAAAAGTAATAGTGTTTGGCCCCTGCTGCTGGATCTCAATGCTGTGACAGACTTCAGTTCCTTTGGGGGCTACTATTGCTAGAATGTTTGTGAGCTACTGGAATCACTGGGATTTTGGCCTGAGTTTGGGTGAACTGCTCTGAAAGGACACTCTAGAGGCCTTTAAAAGGGCGGGAAGTATATGTGAAGCACTCCTGAAATGTGCTGGATTGACAGCTGAGAGGTATGTGGTCCTTTCGATATCCGTGGAATCCGTATAGCTCAAGTAGCACCAGTGCAAAGTAAATTTAATACAATTCATCAAATTAAATTTAAATGGGCTGGTCTCCAACTTGTAAATCAAGGGCTGGAATTTGAGCTACTCCACTGGTACAGCTTTCCTTCAGTTAAGTTACTTCAGTCAAAGAATAGAGAATGAGAGCCAGTGAATAGTCTGTCATAAAAAAGCATGATTCCCGAATGTTCTATTCCTCTTCTTTGTACATGAGAAGATAGCTATGGAGGGGTTGGTCCAAAATTTGCTGGCACCAGTGGAAAGATAATGGAATATTTTGTACCACAGATGACTCACTAGTGTGTTTAATGATAATTTATTTTAGAAGAGTAGGATTAATTTGGAATAGAGTAGACCTCATACCTCTAAGCTTGTAAACCCGGCTGTCTTTTAAGAGGAATAAGAAATATGGGTAGAAGTAGTGCATTTGTGGGACTTGTGCATTGCTATCTGAATAACGTCAGTTCTATAGTTCTGCATTGAATGTCAGTCTCTAGGTTTACTTACTTTAACCCTTTCACCACAACATGGTTTTATTCATAGGTACAGTCCTCAAAAAAACTTTTCTGATTATCTCTACGCAAGATTCCCTGTCATCTCATCCTGCTGCTGAAAACTCTTATGCGTGCCTGTATTAAGTTCAGGTTTTTTTTTCTTTATCTGTACGTACCTTGTCTTTAGAGACTCCTTGGACTCTCCACCTGAGGAGGGCTCTCAGAAATCTTCCCTCATTCTTTCCCTTCCACGTTTTCCAATCCTTTCTCGTCCTTCACTTCCCAAAGGGTGAGCTGAAGAATCATCTATCTTTCTGAAATCTGACGGTTCCTGCATTTGTATTACTCTACTGTCTTTTGACCTCTGCCTTGCTGCAAGATGCGGAGTACAGGTGCAGTGTAGGGTGGGGAAAAAGGAGCTTAAGGTTTCCAAGCCTTACATCCTGGAGGCAATCCAACAAATTATGAAAATTTATTGCCATTAGCTCGAATGTTAGAACATACAAGTGCTCATGCAGTATAGTCGCGCTTTCCAGTTCCTTTAACATTGGTAACGTCACGTTCTGTAAACAATTTTATGTCTGGTCTTGTAGAACAGGTAATTTTACAGTATGAGATTTTATATGGGGTTCAAATTTGGAACTAGTCCCTAGTTACTCCAGTGCTTTTTCTGCCTTGCTGCACTGCTTCAGGGATGCCTCTTTTTTATGCTTCACAGAAAAGAGGCAAAGAAATAACTGAGATATTTTGACCCTGGTTTTGTGATTCTCCTCATACTGTCTGCGATGGTGGTTTATGCACAGAGCTCTTTCCTTTTGAGACTGTTAGGGAGGACTATTTAACACAGCGCCTGGCTCCAAGAAACATAGAGTGATTTTTTTAACTGAACTTGGAAGCACTTTCTAAGGTTTGAAATGGATCTTGGTGGTGTTAAGAATCATTTCTCACCATAAAATTTCTTCTGTAGACAAACCCAGCCTGTTACAGTGAATCCTGTTAGAAGGCGGTCTTCGTCCAGGATGTCTATGGTAAGGAGAGCAAATAGTTTTATATTTGCATTTTTATGGATTTCATTTGACTTTGATTCAAACATTAGTTTCTTTCAGTGAAAGAAAATGACCAGTAAAAAAGATGAGTCTAATATGTGAGGAACTGTTTCTGGCTTGTAGAAAAAGCTGCTATATAGTATCTGAAATGGAATTAAAATAATTGCAATGAAAAATATTTTAAACACTTCTATTTTTAGTTTGATTGCTGTGTTTCTAGGAGACTCATCTAGGAGACTCTCCTAGATGTCAAATGGCAAGATACAGTCTTGGGTTGGTGGTGTGTGGTTTTGGTTTTTTTTCCTTTTTTTTAAATTGTTTCTTGTATGACCTCACAGGAGAAACTTACATGGCAGATTTAGAGAAATGGTTTAAGAATAAGGCTTTGTGTGTGTGTTATACATTATATATTATATATATAATAGTATAAATTATATATAAAAAAATCTTCAAGACTTATTTTTAAAAGAAATCATGAGCTTTTAACTACCAAGGTAGGTTCATTAAATCCAAGGCCACACTACACAGCTTTAGAAGGTAAAAGCTATAATTTGCATTTATAACTACTTTAGCTAGAGCTGAAAAAATTCATAGGGTGAACATGGAATAGGTTTGTACTATAACACTCATTGAAGTGCTTGCTGCTACTCTAGGCATATAGGCTAATGTGAAATAGAATCATAGAATCATTTAGGTTGGAAAAGATCTTTAAGATCATCAAGTCCAACCATTTACCTAGCACTGCCAAGTCCCCCACTAAACCATGTCCCTAAGCACCACATCTACATGTCTTTTAGATACCTCCAGGGATGGGGACTTGACCACTTCCCTGGGCAGCCTGTGCCAATGCTTGACAACCCTTTCAGTGAAGAAGTTTTTCCTAATATCCAACCTAAACCTCCTCTGGCACAACTTGAGGCCATTTCCTCTCGTCCTATCCCTTTTTTTCTGGGAGAAGAGACTGACCCCCACCTCGCTACAACCTCCTTTCAGGTAGTTGTAGAGAACAATAAGGTCTCCCCTCAGCCTCCTTTTTTGCAAGCTAAACAACCTCAGTTCCCTCAGCTGCTCCTCCTCCATATCCTCTCCTATGGGATATGAGCAAAGTTAGTTATGGTAGCATATACAGCAACTATAGACTGGTCCCTTGTGTGAGTTTAAGCTGACTGTCAATTTTTTGGTTCATGTACCAAACTGGTGCATTATGGCATTGTGAGATCCTTGTCAATGTTGATCTTAATAGCTGCAAAGAGTAACTGAGCCCCTAGACAACTCACACAATTAAAAAATAAAAAAAAATTATTAAACCAGGATGCAGGAAGAGAGAAGTTTCTTTCAGAGTTCACTAGACTACAAGGTGGTGGGGAATTCAGAGGCTAAGGAAATTTGCAAGTTATGGAGTTGGTATACATTTGATTGAAAAAAAGAAAGAAAAAAACCTCAAGCAAACCCTAATTAGAATTCTCAAGGGATGCACACTCCTAATCTCAGCGGTTTACAGTGGAGTCATGGCTGCTTTCTCTCCTTTTTTTTTTTTGATTGTTAACACATTGTGTCTTTAAAAGAAAGTTGCTGCCCTGAAGGGCTTAATCTAATCTTTTGCAAAGTTGCCTCAGTTTTGATAGGGACCTTTCAGTCCTACGAGTCAGCTGGATAAAAAAAAAATACTTTAACAACTCACTGGTAAGGGAATAAGCACATTTTCTATCTAAATAGAATTACACAAGTATTCATGAAGGTACAGGTATATAAATTCAGAATGTAGCTGAATTCTTTCGAATACAGTGTTGGAGTTATTGCTGTATACTTGCTACTGCACACGTCCTATTTTTGAAAATTTTTTTCACAAACAAAAGAGTTTTTGATTGTCAGCAAATTCATTAACATAAGTGTGGCGATTATTTTGGTGAACCTGAAGAGTTAAATCATGAAAGGCATCTAAGCTATGACTGAATTGTTCTCTTCTGGAGCTTGGCAAATTGTACATCCAATGAAGTAATGGTTAAATTATTAAATGTATATTGATGTATATTGAATGTATAAACAGTTGGTCCCAATTGACTGGAAGCTGGCAAACGTTGTCCCAATCTTCAAGAAGGGTAACAGGGATGACCCTGGTAACTACAGGCCTGTCAGTCTCACCTCTGTGCCTGGCAAAATTATGGAGAAAATTATTCTGGGAGTT